AGTATTTTTTTGAACTTTATGTGTTGCGGAAATAAATTATAGATTAATCTTATTTAGATTTATCATAAGAATGTTTAAATATGATTTATTAGCATCTTGCTTATATTTAGTTTCAGGCTAAAACCATGATTTGTTATTATTTTAGCTGAGGGTGAAATTATATACTGCTGAGAGTAAAAAAGTCTTAATAAAAATCTGAGTTTTAATTTGAGTCAAATTTTATATATAAGAATGTTTAAATTAAGTTGTTTAAAATCAAACGTGTTTCATTCCATTCAATAGCCGCATGAAGAAAATTAACAGTAATATTTTCTTTTAATATATTTGGTATTTTTCCTCTAATAATGACTTCGCTTTTACTATTCAATTGTTTTTTTACTCTTTGAGTTTCTTCATCCGATTTAGCTTCTGGAATATTGTATGTTAGCCTTCGGCATTTATCAGAATTTCCATCAAATAATACGTAATTAATATGGCCTGTTATCTTAAAGGAAATTATTACATGAAATCTCCCTGATACTTCTCCCCCGTCACAGCCATTCCTATTTAACCCTGAATTTGGTTTTTATTTTGTTACAAATCTTAAATTTAATAAATACAGACCTTTTGCAGGGAAATAGTCTGCCTCAGAGTTAAATACCCCATTGTGGATGGGAAAATTTACATATGAAAGCGTCTATTTTAGATTTCTTTCTGCCTTAATTCTAATATACATATTTATTAACACAATTTTTTTAATTTGGAAAGTTTTGGGAAAAACATACTTGAACACGATTTATTGACCAATGAGGAAATATGTGATGCGGATAATAGATGTCATCACCACCATTAATATTGATTGTGTAGTTACCCTCTGAGGCTTTAATTATTATAACTATCGGCATACCAGCTACAATTGGATTTGTATGGAATTTTTCATTTAGAAAAGTATTTCTTTTAGCGGAATAGCTAATGATCATCAAGTGCGAATATTTTGCTTTAATATAGTCATGTCCTGTATATCCTGTATTTATGTCAGGATCAAAAACGAAATTCAGCTCCATCACGATGTCAATGTCTTATTAAAATTAAAAATATTAATTGAATTGATTAAAAATTTTACTAAAATTATTAGCAATTTGAGAGTCGTGAAATAATTGTACTTTAAAAACATATAGAGGATCCATCACTTCACTAGCTGAAGTTACCAAAGCCTCAAAACAAACAATAGTTCCATATCTTTTCAATTTATTAATCTCCCTTCGATAAACCAAAAATGGAAATTCTTGATGTTCACCATGGAAATAAGTATGATCCAAAAGCAGAATATCACCATTTAACTAAAATAATAACTAAACGGTTGGCAGATACATATCATTATTGCTCGTTCTGCATTTCATGACATATGTAGAAAATGCAATTAACTCTTACTTATATTATCTCGCACAATTTATTGTATAAATAGGGAATCCTATTTGTATAAGCTAACCGTATCTTAAAAACCGAATCCAATAAATAAACAAAAAATGTAATGAACGCAAATTACATTAAATCAATGATGTAACTTTAATAGAATTTAAAATTACCAATATTCTATCAATTGTCCAGATTGGAAAATCATTTCTTATTGTAAAATTTTTCATAAATTCACCATTAATAAATGTCTCAATTAGTGTTTTATAACTCAATTCATTTCTTGTACTAGTAATACGTAAAAAAAGCTCGTATGCTCTTCCCCTTTCAAATATTTTTATTGGAACAGATGTTTTGCATTTGAATCCATCACATATTTCTTTATTAAATCTCTCATTAATACATTCATCATAATTATTAGGGCACTTAAATTTTATAAATTTATATACAGTCCAATTTGCTTTTCGGTCTAAATATTATCAGGCGGCTAAATTACTTTAGAGTTAACTTGCTTTTGGCCTGTGTTTTCCTATTATGTAGTGTTGTTTTTTTCATGATTTTTTTCATTTTTTAAAATTTTATTTTTAATACACACTTTGGAAAACCACGTCGATCTTTCCGCTAGAAACGAAAATTCCTAGTGAGACGAAAATTGCGATGACAAATATTCCGTTTATTTCCTTTGTGACAAATATTCCGCTGGAAAAGTTCCGAAAAGTCAAGGAGCCGAAAGTTCCAGAGACGAAATTCCATTAATAACTTTTTTTATTAATGAACATTAATAAAAAAATTTTTATTAATTGATGATATCTACTCTAACTCTACTTATTCAAAATTTCATGTCAGCATCCCCGGATTATACAAGGATATCTTTATCCGTAAGCATGCCTGCTAGATATTTACTTACATCCCCTGTTTTAATTGTTACATTTGTTAAACTATCGAAAACATCAAATTTATAAAGAAGATTTCCAACTTAAATAATATTATTAAATTAAAAAGTCTTATTTTTTTAATTACTGTAAGGATTTTCTTCTACGCCATTCAATAATTTTATGCTAAATTTCGTTGCTTCATTATTTATTTTGAAATGACAACGAAAAGATGTTTTCTTGCTAATAGTTTCTCTAATCTTTAATGAATATGGCATTTTAATCACATCAAACTTTGCATTATAATACTAAATTTGATTACATTTAAAGTGAGTAAAAATATTCTTATTAAAATTTATTTTAATAATAATCATCCAAAAAAGATTTTAAGAGTAATACCCGTTGTTCAAACGGGAGCAGACCAAGGACCGCAGAGCAATAACTTCGTACAATATTTTCGAATCCGACTCGTTCTGGTTCGGATCGGAGCCGCCGCCATGGTTCGGATCCAATTCAGCTCATACCAGCACGTCCCAGATTCGAAAATTTTGAATGAAGTAAATTTTGTGTCAAAATCCTGGGCTTGCGGTACGTTGAGGTCAAAAAAATTCAGGAATCATTATAATACAATCAAACTTTAACTGAATGAAGCGATTTTTAAGTACGATAATAAAAGCTTTCGAAAATGATTAAGGGCAGGACAATTTTTTGTCAATTATTAAAATATTAAGTCAGAAAGAGTGAATATATTTACATAAAAACTCCAAAACCTACATTTAACCTTCGATTATCAATCACTTTGATCATTAAAGGGGTGGCTAAAATAAAATCACCACCAATTTCCATTTTGATTTCAGACTCCTTCAAAAATGTTCCGTTCCACCATTCATTTGCCCAAAATTTTTTAACAAATTTTTCAAAAACATTACTTTGAAATAATATCCAAACATAATAATTGCTTATTCGCATAATTAAATCTATTGATGCTCCATATTCAAACAAATTGATACCGATAAATTTTTTAATTGGCCTTGGTTTTTTATACTAAATTAGGATTTTAAAAACTAAACTTAACTTTAGGAAAATGTTAAATAAATTTTAACTTTATTAGAATAATGAGAAATAAATGGATTGGTGGAATAAAAAAGGATTAATGAATATCGTGGGATTATTTGGAGATTAAGAAAGATCAACAGAGAGATCACTTGATCACTTTCAGAATTCATTATATTCTAAATTATTCCTCGGTCCACGAAATTTTTTTTTGAATTACATTTATTCCTCCATATATCCTGATAATCCGTATACCCTGATATCTAGTTACCCCCCCCCTTAATCACACCCAGTGATATCAAAGTTTCAGTTGCAGTTCCGGAACTAATTAGATCTAGTTCCAGTTCCAGAACTAGAACTACGGAACTAACGATTATCTGGAACTAGTTTGGAACTAGAACTACGGAACTAGTAAATGCCTGGAACTAGCTTCGAACTGGAATTAAGGAACTAGAAAATGTCTGGAACTAGCTTTGGAACTAGTTCTGGAACTAGTTCTTGGGGGTATATTTTTGACAAAATTTACTCGAAAAAGTTTACGAGACGACCTTAGAAATTCTCAAAATTTCCGCCTGCGGCGCTGAAAAGTGAATTTTTTGGCCTACGACTTTACAAATTCTCAAATTTTCGCCTGCGGCGCTGAAAAAATGAATACCTTATTTCCGAAAATAGAACCACATGGGGTCCATTTTTCAACTATATCCAACGCTTGCCTATGTCCTATACTTTGCAGAGTTCACACAAGGACGCTTGCGAAACTCCAATCCAACAACTCAATTTAGAAGGCATTGGGAAACGTGGCCAAAAGCTGCTTTACTACAAAAATTATTGAAAATCGGAAATTTTTCCTAAATTTCGTAAATAAAAAGAATCCATTGTCATTTTTGTAATTTGAAAAATAGATTGAAATGTAGAGCCCCATTCTGGAACTGGAACTGGAACTACTAAAATTAAAAACCTGAAATAGAGCCCCACTTTGGAGTCCAAAGTAGGGGCTCTATTTCAGGGTGGGGTTCTAATTTTTGGTGGGGCTCTATTTTTCAACTACCCTCCAAGGTGGGGCTCTATTTCAGGGTGGGGTTCTAATTCAGGGTGGGGTTTTATTTTCGGAAATACGGTATTTTTGGCGTATTACCTTAGAAATTCTCCAAATGTCCACTCCCCAAATTTCCGGACACGTTTTCATATTCAAAATAAGTTTAAAAATTTGGAACTAGAACTAGCTTGGAACTAGTTCTAGAACTGGAACTACAAAAATTATAAACCTGGTTCTGGAACTGGAACTGGAACTACTAAAATTAAAAACCTAGTTCTGGAACTGGAACTAGTTCCAGAGAAATTTTGGAACTTTGACATCACTGTCACACCTTTAATCACACATACCCCCCTTAATTCCCTCTAATCTTTACAAAGACCCTATATCCATACAAATCCATGTAACCAAGCAAACTATCATATATAACCCTTACTTTATTTCTTTATGTGTCATATTTTGTGGTCCAACACCACCACTAATAAAATCCTATTTCCAGATCCGGATCCAATGTATGATACTGTTATTAGCGTCGCAGGTGAAAATTTCAAGAATTTTGGAGGTTAATAAGTGCCTGCGGTTACCGAACAGACAAACCAAACAGAGAATTTAGGTTTGCCGTTCGGTTCGGTTTGAAATAAACAACCCTATTAACGAAATATTACCATATACGGAAATAATATTATTTCTCTGCCAATGAGCTCTATTTCTAGAAAAAGATCAGTAGAATTAAAAAATCCAATTGCGCCACGACTTCCGTTGTTACTTGCCCATATTGAAAAACGAACTATTTTTTCTCCATTTTTTATATCTCCCAATTTGTGTAAATTATTACTAGTATATCTTGTAGAACAATTTCTGTGACCTGTCCGCGTCCCTTGTGTTATTTTAGGCTCGAATGATTCTGGTATTGATGGGTTTTTGAACTAAATAAATTATTTATCTTGGAAACTCCGGTATAAAATATAAATACACTATTTCGGGAATATGGATTCCCGACGCAAACGCCTCGGGAATTTACAATTTTTTGGAATTTTCTGTAGGCGAAACAGCAGGATCTCTGATATGAATTGTTATTGTACTGTTGTATCTCAAAAGCAAATCAAATACTTTTTCATAGACGTATAAATAAAAAATCCTCTGATTGTAAGGGTCGCCTCCCACTCAATATAATTCTTATCAAAAATTTTACCCAAACATTAATAGAACAAGCACATCCTTTATAAACAAATAAATTTAAATTTTGTTCTTCCGATGTTGGTAACAAATCCATTCCAAGAGCCCAAAGGCCTGCATATTTGTGAAGATATGCACCTTTATCAACTCTGAAGAGGTATTCATTGATAAGTTTAGCGTCTTTGCCCAGGAAAATTTGTTTTGCTAAATTAATTTATTAAATCACATATTAAATATGAAATTCAAAAATTTCTTCAGCAAATTATAATAAAATACAGACTTTTAATATTTTCGTTCTCCAAAATGACACGTGTGAATATATCTTTCATGCGACCAAATTCTATATAGAACTTTAATGTTTCGATTATTTCATATCTGAAAAATATTTGAATATTTTAGTAGCATTTCCAATATTATTTATCTTATAGTGACAAAAAATTCTACAAAATAAACACAAAATATTACTCTTGCTTTGCAATAGACAATGAGATTGTTGTTACTAAAACTGGGGGATCGCTTGTGTTTTGATTAATATCTTCGGTTTTTATCATGATTCCATGCCAAATATTCGAACCAGGCTGTCCCAAAGTACACAAAGGTTTGTTTTTTTGCTCGTTGCAAAATTCTTTGCGTCGTTTTTCACATTGTTTAGTGACATTATTCTTTTAAATTTGAATATACAGGGTGACCCAAAAGAAACCGGGCACTTTTCTATCCTTTATAACTTTTTTTGATCATTTAATTTTTAAATAATTCCAAGCTTATTTTGTAGATCATTTATTTCTCTATCATATAGTAAAATTTAAGATTTTTTGATTAAGGATTAAGAAAGTTACGTAATTTTAGGTAGACCATATCAAAATTTTCCCCCTAAAATTTTATTTTCTGTATCTCAGAAAGGAGAAGTCCAAACGGGATGATCTCAACAGAATTTAATTAAGATCATTAGCAAACCGGACAAATCTGAAAGATGAAAACACCAACTCCTACATGGATGGCTCTGAGTAGATGTAAATCAATTTTGGGGGAATGCGATTCTCTCATTTTGGGAGGGTTACGCGCAATCGAATATCTCTTTAAGCGTTAGTCTAAAAAATTTTTGCTTTATAATTTCTATAGATAAAGGATTGCTCTAGATGCCGAAAAATTTTTGTGTAATTCCTGCAATCTATTCTAATGTTATAAACAAAATGTCTCAAAAAAGGTTGCGACCTGGAGCAATAATTTTTCTCACTTTCCTTTAACCTTATCTCAAAGTAGAATAGGGAAAATTCTAAAAGATTTTTATATTTTATTCTCCATTTAGTTCTCTATAATTTCATCTTTATTTTATCTCATTATCTTAAAGTTGAATAAAGTTATGGCAAAAATAGCGTGCCCGGTTTCTTTTGGGTCACCCTGTAATTTGGATTAATTAATTATAACAAAAGCGAAAGATAGCAAAAATTAAAACTGAATCAAGATATAGGGTTGGACAAACCCAAAAGAATCATCCTTTATGTCATAATTTATGGATAAAACTTAATAGACCAATCTATTCACCTTTATTCCTTCACGAAGGCGGTATGGAATATTTGCTATAAGTCCAGTCCGTGTATTATTACCGATCAGTTGACTCGGGTAACAAATTATCAATCTAAATATTTTATTAAAGAAATAATTATATTTAATTTACTCGTCACAGAGATAAAAGTATGGTCTATCAAAGATTAAACCATACGAGCCGTGATCCTTCTGTCCAGGACGCATCATGCACTGGTCAGTATTTAAATATGGAATTGAAAAATATGTAATGCCCATGTCAGTTAAAAACACACTTAATGTAATAATTATTAAGTAAAGAAATTTTTTATATGATTTAAAGTTTAAATAGTATAGAAGGTTTATGAAGAAGGGGTTTAAGTCATACAAAAATTCTGGTAGGTAGAAGAAATTTGTGTTCGTATTGGGTTTCCGATAAATTTAGATGTCTACATATATTTAGAAATAGCAATTCTATTCACATACATTCAAAATAATCAAAGGAAAACGTAAAAATAATAATAGTATATGATTATAAGAATGTAGGAATTAGAAATTAGTAAAAACAGGCAAACTTATCACAAAAACTCTGGTAAGGTTTAGTAAATTAATATGAATGTATAAAACATACAGATTATTATTGACTTGCCGTTCATTCTTAATCATTTTATCTTGAAAATCCTGTTCTGCATAAACATAATAAATAAATGAAATAATCATAAATTTTATTAAGATTTTCATCTTTATTAGATATTTTAAATCAGAAAATAAAAAAAATAAATAAAATATTCTCCTATAAATTTTTACTAAATGTATTTAAAAATAAAAATTATATATTATGAATAAGTGTTCATTTATATCAAAAATAATAATGATCATACATTTCTAGTTAGATTAATTAAAATTTAATTTAATGATGATTGTTTGTGAAAATATTTTTGATATTAATATATTTTTGTATATATTATATCGTTACAAGTGATTCATTCATTACAAAATTTAATTGACGCTAGAAGTATATTTTGTTTATTTTTAGTACTTATGGCATATTTTTTTAAATTTTTACTTTAATAATTCTAGAAGTGTGTGTGTGGATATTATTTCCATAGTGATAAAACAGTTTTATAGTTAGTCTTATCTTGTTTATTCTTTTATTTGTACTTTGATACTGGAGTTTGATTATAATACATACAAACCCAACCAAACTAAAACCCGCTCCGAGTTTTCCAATCTGAAGAGTCGGGGTTATTTAAATAGTGTAAATGGACATTTTGGTAAAAAAAATTAAATTTAAACTTAAATTTACAGAATTTTTGCCTGCGCGCTGAAAAAACATTTGGGAGAGACTTGAGAGACGATAAATTTTTTTAGTTTATTTTTGTAGCGTACTTATATTCTAAAAATTCTCCCACTATGTGCTTTTAAATTAAGCTTTTTGTACTTTAATTTAAAGCTAAAAAATTACGAAAAAAGTTGTTTCTAGTCCAATCAGAAGCATACCGCGTTAATTTTTCTGAGGTTATTAATCTGGTTTTTGTCTCGCTTTTTTTCTTTCTAATTAATACTTTTTTCTTTGATTTATAGCCAATTTCAATAAGTTAAAATTACATTGCAAATGCCCAGGTCGTGGACATACATCAGAAAAAGCATTTTTGACGAATGCCTTATTCGGACATGTGGGACACGACCTGGACATTTACCAATTAGACTTTTATAGACATTCAAATCTAAAGATATTTTATCTGCACGAATTGAAAAGATCAAAATTTTAATTATGCTGTTGTTTAAAATAATTATTATTTTAAATATTTTGGTAATTACTTTTATTTATTATCTTTTAGTATGTAGTATAATTAGGTATTATAATTTTAAAATAGGCGTTGGAGAGTGAAGACATATGGGGTATATTGTAGGATTAAGGCGGAGGGTCAATATATGTAACTGGGATACCAGGGATTTGATATCTGGGAGCTTGTTAGGATTAAGGGTAATTCGAGAGATATCGAGGGATCATATATCATGAGTTTGGTTTGATATCGGTGACATAGTAGGTAGATATCGATGGATTTATGTAAATATCGGTGAATACATTTTATCTTCTGATCTCTAACTTTTATCACCAGATATCAATCAACTTTTAGCCCCAGATATCTCTTAATCCTCGACAAATTTTCTGTTCGATTCGGAAAACAGAATTTTTTGCTTAACGGTTATGTTTTGGTCAACCGATAGATCTGATGAAACCGGCAGTCTGCCGAAAACCGGGGTTACCGGTTAATAACCGGTGGTGAGCAACCCTACGGCAAACATACTATGGAATTATTTTCATTTTGTAGAAATTGAATTTCTTCAATTTAAAATTTTTCAATTTCAACTTCATTGTGATAAATTTTTTTGTTTTAAGCCTTTTTACAAAACACAAATACTACGTCCTTGTGACCAAGAATTCATTACTGAAAATATAAAATTGACGAATCAGTATAGGGCAACATATTGTCTACATTTTCAATGCTTTGTAAGGGTTGTGGATATGCAAGATTCTTGGGAAGATCCTAAATCTTATCCAATTAACGGTTTATTAATAAATATTTTTATTTAAATACTTTAAAAAATATATATTTGTGTCACTAAACGCAAACTCACTTGAATCATAAATTCTTTAACAATCTTTTCATTTGCCAAACCCACAACTTTAAGGGTTTTGGCAGGATTAAAGCTCAAAAATGTGGCAAAAATTTGGGAAAAATTTAATAACAATTAAAATCTCAAATAAAAAGCCGTCTATTGTTTTTCAATTTTCGGGGTCTGTATTTTGCCCAATGTTAAGACAGGTGTTGATTTTGGGGTCATTTTTTAAAATATTCAACAAAAAAATTGACGGGGGGAGGCGGGAGTAAATAAGTAACATAAAAAGCGTTATGTACATATACTCCAAATTTTTAGTAACGGTAAATTGCCTTTTTTGTATCGGTATCGAAAAATGCCGAATGGTATCGGTATTTTTGAGAAAATTTAATTTTATCAATAAAATCAGTTTATATGTATGTATATCGTGAAATAATGAGAGCCTGTGTGATATTTTTAACACCTCAAAGGAAAATTATGAGAATTTCAACAATATCCGGGACCTGTACGGTTTCGTTATACCAAAGAATACCGATATAGGAAAATACCGATTAACGTGATTAATATTAATTAATATAATTAACATGTTTTAACTAACGGCCTGTAGAATAAGACGATGGTTAGCCATCGTAACGGCAGCGCCGAGGCGACCCTACGCCGCGGGTTTGTCGTCGCCGTTTTTCTCATCTCTCCTTATTTATGAGAAAAATCATAACTTTTTTTAAAACTGAGGTAAAAATTTTATTTTTTGCCAAAATATAGATTGGAGTGTTGTCTAAGATTTAGCAAAAAATTAAAAATTTTGACCGATTTATTTAAAAGTTATGATTTTTCTAGCCAGGTACTACTTTTTTTAAAAAATCATTGAAAAATGAGGTACTTTTTTAAAAAAATTCTCATAAATTAAGTTTTAAAGGGAAAATTCCAAAAATTATGTCAAAAAATAGAGGACACTTCAAACTATATAAAAATATCAAATTTATTATTTTTACATCAAAATTCGATTTTTAATGATTTTTTAAAAAATCTTCTACCCTGCCCCTTAGCAGGGTAGAAGAAAAGAAGAGGAAAACTACTGTTTTTCTGTTTTTTCGGCGCAGCCACTTTTCTCTTCTTTTTAAATTATGGGAGAAAAGTTGGGCCTGGTTGATCCCAGCAACCACGCTCTTATTCTACCGGCCCAGAGGTCCACAAACCACCACCTTTCCGCAAAGCGAATCCGCATTTTTCATTACGTTTATTGCATTTTCGGTGTTTCTATCAATAATTTATTATCAAATATTATCAGTTAATAAAATTAGTTGATAATAAAGTGAGAATCAAATAAAAAACAAAAAAATCAAAGACAACAATTATTTAAAAGTATTGGAAATAAATTCTTTATCATTTTTCTGTTAGGAATCCC